CTTCATCCATTGGCTTAGGTTCATCTTCAAACAAACAGTTTTTGTTTTTTTTCGGTTGTGTCTTGCTGCTGTCCTTTGGTTCTTCTTTCTTTAAAATCGTTAATTGCTCTTCCTTGCAATCCTCTTGTTGCTTATCTTGAATCTTTTTTTCTTCAGATTTATCTAATGCCTCCTCTTTCTCAGCAGCTTTAGGACTTGAAACTTCCACTTCACTCCTTGTACAGACAACTTGGCTTTGCTCTATTGGATTTACAATGGTATTGTTAGGTAATTTTTCATCATTCCTATTTAACAATTGCTCTAAAATTTTTCCTATGTGCTTCTCCATCTTCTTCATGGATGTATCTTGATTCTTAAAACTTGACTGAGTAAATTCCATGAATTGGAGCAAAGTTTCTTCAAGTTCATTCATTCTTTTTGGAAAAGTCTGTGAAGGCTGCAGTCCTCCTTGCGGTTGAGAATATGATATTTGAAAATAAGGTTGTGAAGAATGAGGACTTGAGAAAGGTGTTGTTGCAGCTGACATTTATTGATTCCAATCATAATATGGCTGACTCATGTTAGTTTGATATTGATATTCATGAGGAAAGGTATATTCAGATCTTTGAAAATTTCCTCCAAAATTGATTTCTTCTTGAAATTCTGGTGCAGCCACATCATATGTTTCATTCAAATCATTTTCACTGTAAAAATCACACACCAAGGGGTTAGTTTGGGCAACTCTAGCTTGAAAATTATTAATCGAAGCATTAAGAGTATTTGGTGCATAAGCTTCTGTTCTTGCAACTTGGCTTTGATAAAAATTCTGGTACATGCTGGTTGCCATCAAACAATAGAGCAACTTTATTTTTTTCTGTTTTTTTCTTGCATACAAAAAGAAAGAAAACAAAAGTCAAATCAAATTTGTAACTAGGAAAAATGAAATATGAAACTATGCAGAAAGTTACAAAACATAACATGCAGCAAACATAGAAAATTATGCAGGATGAAATTTACAATTATGCAGAAAAATGAAAAACAACATTATGCAGAAAAATGCAAAAGAATACAGAAAAGCTATAAAACAGAATATGTAGAAAACACAAAAATTTATGCAGAACAAAAATTAAAATTATGCAGAAGAATGAAAAATGAAATTATGCAGGAAATGCAAAAGAAAACAAACGTTTATGCAGTAAACACAATGCAGAAAACTACACAAGATGCTGAAAAATCATGCAGAAAAACTTGAAAATAAAACAACAAAAATAAATGCTCAATCTAGCTACCTTTTTGCTACTAATGATATTGAAATTCAAAATTCCCCGGTAGCGGCGCCACAAACTTGTTGTTCGAAATCTAACACTAGCAAGTACACTAGGATTGCAGCAAGTAATGAGTAAATTTAAGATCCAAATATCGTCTCCACAGGGAATTTAGATTTCAAGTACCACTTCATAGAATTATAATCATTTGAGCCATACGAATTTTAGAAAGAGAATTGTAACATATAATAGTAGTAAACCAGCACAATACATAGAATTAACTTGCAAAAAATAGGTATAACAATGTGATGAATTGAGATGGGAATAAAGAATAGTTAGGAATTTACTTCACAAGAATATCAGTATTAATTCAATTATGCCTCTGAACATTCAAGAACTTGGTTAATTGACAATCAGTTTCGCATAGCAATAGCCAAAGGTTAATTCCTTAACTCATTGACCCTAACAAGCAAGTAAACCACCCTAATCCCTTAGGTGAAGTTTAATTTCAAGTTGCATTAAGACTTAGAACCTTAAGATTGTAGAATTAGGTCTCCTTATCCCTAAGAAATCCTCAACTTCTGATTGCTAACTCAGATCGGAGAAGCAAATCCAACTTCCATTGGTAATTGTTCCTCTAAGATGAATCAAACAAATTTCCATTCATAGATTGCAAGAAAAACAGAATTCATAATTCAATTAATCCAAGAACTTAAAATCCAGAAGCAAGAGTCAAATCAATACATCAATTCGAGTTCCATAAACCCCTAACTACAAGAAAACTACTCAGACATGGGAGAAGAGAAAGAGAAAGAAGAAGAAGAAGAAGAAAAACTCCAAGAAGTCATGGCCGGAAGCTCCAATCCGATTCCTCTTTGTGGAAGCTTCAAGACTTGACCCCAATCTTCTCTCTCAATCTCTCTCAACGGGATCTAACAAGAAAACAAAAAAATAAAACTGAACTCCAAAAAATTTGCACGTTTCTGTTATTTATAGAATTTTCCAGATTTGCGCGTTATCACTTTTATGAGAAATAGTAGCCACGCAAAAGGTTTATGGTTGCGCGTTAACACTTTTATCAGAAAAAGTAACCACGCGCAACTTTCCTGATATTGAAGGCTCTCTAGAACTATCACTCTTGCTGATAAAAGTGACTACGCAGAGCTCAAGTGGTTGCGCGTGATCATTCTTATGTATAAAAGTGATTACGCGCAACTCGCCAGGTTGAAAGCTCTCTGGAACGTTCACTTTCGCTGATAATAGTGGTAACGCCCAGGCTTTCTTCTTCTTTGAACTCTAGAGTGATCACTTTTACTAACAATAGTGATCACGCCCAGTCTGCACTTTCTTGCTCTTGTGTTTTTGGAGTCCAGACTTGCTTCTTTCTTCTTCCTTGTCATCAAGCCTCCATTTCTATGATCCTTGCTCAATTTATTCCTTCAAAAACAAGATTAAAAACTTAATTTCTAAGCAAAATTTCTACAATTGCTAAGATAACTACATATGTAAACAAACTTCAATTCCTTCTCTTTTTTTCTGAGTTTTTCTGCTTTCTTCATATATTTTTCTTATTAATTGTGTTAGAATTATGCTAAAATATCAGTAAAAATATGGATTCATCAACGACCAAAGCAAAATACAGAATAGTGGGGTCACTCTAGTTGCTGAATCATTGCATATCTCTAGTGCAAAGGATAAAAATCCAATATATGCAAACATGTCATACTTTGGAGTCATTGAACGTATATGGGAGTTGGATTACACTAACTTTTGTGTAGCAATCTTTGGATGCAAGTGGATAGACAACAACAGTGGTGTTCGAATTGACGATATGGGCTTTATAAGGGTCGATTTTAAAAAGGTCGGTTACCAAGTTGATTCGTTTATCCTTGCATCACAGGCTCGACAGGTGTTCTACATCGTAGATCCTATTGACAAGTCATGGTCAATTGTCCTAATGTCTACTAAAATAAATGCTTTCACCGATGGAGAATTAACAGAAGAAGAAGTTAATGTGGAGGACAATCCTTTGAGAAGTGTTGAACACATGTCAATTGTTGATACATTAACAGATGACGAGGATATTTATGTAAGACATGATCATGAAGAGGGCATTTGGTTAAATCCGTCATTTCATTCAATAAAAGGTCATAGGAAACTTAGTAAGGCTCCTAAAAAAAAGAAAAAGGTGCATTTCATATTAAATTTGAATTGATTATAATTTGTTTTTATGATTTTACTTTATTCCTGAATGTAATTATTTAATGTTAATCTTTACCTTTTGTCTTACAGAGATGACTTCTTCAGATAACATGGACGGGAGTCCCCCTCATCACTCCGCTGAGGCAAATAAGAAGAAAGGTAGAGGGATTACCAAACTTAAGTCCATTAGCAAATCAAGAAAGTTAGGACAAAAGTTACAGATAAATTATCACCATCAATGAATTTTGCAATGATATTCAATGATCTTTTATGCTAATATTAGTAACACTAAAATGTCTTTATGATTTATATTTGCATATAGGTTGGCTGGAATAGAAAAGGTCAACTGATAGGATCAAAATTTGCACATTTCATTGGCTTTGTTACTAGGAGTACAGTGCCAATCAGTTATTCTGATTGGACAAATGTCCCTACTAATGCTAAAGAACACATTTGGGAGCAAGTTGAGGTACACAATCATAATTGTTTCAGTTATTTTATGTTGGTTTACCCAAGAGGGTTTATCTTATATGTTTTTTGTTTCCAATGTAGGAAACTTTTGAAGTGGATGTTGTTCACAAAGATTTTGTTCTTTCTTTAGCTGGACAGGACCTTCGTGCATTCCGGACACGTTTGAGGAAACATATCTATGACAAAGATGGAAATTGTGTTCCCCATCCTCCAGAGAAGTATCAGAGATTCATCACAGTCACTGATCATTGGATGGACTTTGTCAACCAAAGCTGTACAGAAACTTTCAAGGTACCATGTCATACATTATTATATCAAATTATTGTCACCATCACAAATGGGTATTGATTTGGTACGTTTTTGAATGCCTTATTTCAGAAAGAAAGTGAGGCTAATGCACAAAGGGCAAAAGCAATGTCGTACAAATACAGGAGGTCATCTAAGGGATATGCTCAGTTGGAGCAAGAGTTGGTATGTAAATTTGTGACTTATGTAACAATGTGATGCTAATGTGTTGTCTTATGTTAAACCTATTAACGAGGGTATTTTACTATTAAATTTGTGTATATTGCTACATCTACCTCTAATTTGACCTCAGTACCTCGACATGTCCTTTGGAAAGCTGCTAGGGTAAATAAACAAGGTAGCATTGATGACAAAGGAGTTAAAAAAATGATCAATGAATTTGTAAGTACTTAATAGTAATGTGTTAGTATTGGACAAATACGTTAACTTTTATTTTGAATTCTCCTTCCTAATGGTTTTTTGTTATGTTTATTGTAGGAAACCCTTTCACAGGTCACTCCAGACACTAAGACTGAATCAACAGCCTGAAATGACATACTCTCTCAAGCACTTGGTGTAAGAGAACATCTAGGTCGCGTGAGGGCTGTAGGTTTTGGGGTGACCCAAAACCTGCATTTGGGCCAGCTACATGTCCACATCCTTCATCTACTGAGTGGTAAAACATGAAGCATTGGGTAGCGCATTTGACCAATGTAGTGACACAATTGACAAGGGGTCAGGGACTACCCCCATTCATGTCAGGTCAGATGCCATTCAACCCCACTCATTCCCCACACCATGTATGCCATCCCTTTCAATATTGCTCCTCAAATGCAACCTATGGCGGATATTGGTCCCCAAACGCGTGTAGATGCAGCTTCTACCAGCCATAGAGGCAGTTGCACACCAATTGCATCTGTTGAGATTCCAGAGGTATTTAAACTATAGTAAATCATCATTTACCTTTTAATGTTTAATGCTTTTGATTTAATTTTTGTGTAATATAACAAACTTTCATTTGTAGGGTGATCATGACTGTATGCTATACTTCAACAAACCTTTTTGCCTGGTTACAAGAGTAGAGTATATCATATAGTGGCTGGGGACTCCTTACATAATATGGCTCTTCCTCCAAAGCATGGTAAGGTTTCTATAGAGGTAGTGCAATGACATGAGGAGGACTTTGCACTGCATGTCCTAAATGAACAAGCAAACCTGTATTCCCTGAGAGATGCCATTGGTATTGATGTTGCTTGGCCATTGTCCCTAATCACTTTAAGACCCAAGGTATGTTAACGTGTTTCTTTATAGTTCCTGTTGCTAGATGAAGACATTAAAAGGTTTGTTCTTTTCAGGTTGCCCTTTCGTCAGCTAAAAGGTTAGGGAAAGAGACAGGGTACTCAAAAGAGTCAATTGCTGGTCCATCGAATAAAGGTAGCACTGGTTGTGTGTCATCAGAGATTTTAAAGTTGGTAGAAGCCCAAGGTGCTGCATGTAACGCCTTATATTTCTTTCCTTAATATATGATAAATTTTCATAAAAATTTAAATGGTAAAGTAAATTTTCTTTCAAAACTCTCTAATAAGAAAGAGACATTGAAATGATATAAGTTTCATATAAGTTCTTTAGAAAAACAAAGATTCTAAAATTTTCATCAGCAACAAAAGGAAATAGTAGTTTTACAACTATTTCAAAAGAATGCTATAGAACTGAAAATATCCATTACATAACTCAAAATAACTAAGTCCTATAACAGTTCTCATCCATCCATGCACTGTGAGCCCAGTACTATTCATCCTGTTTTCCTGAAAAATGTTGTGTAAGGGTGAGTCTCTACCCTACCACTCATACATCATATATATTCATCACAAAACACATCTTATCACGATTGAAAAAAAATATCATGGCATTACATATCACAGTGTCATATAAATCATGTTTTCATCTCAACACATATGATATTCCACAGATTCACAACTTCACTAGTGGAAAAAGTAAATTTAAAATCACACTTTTAAAATCGGTTATTAAGTAGTCGATTTTAAAAATGACGCGGTGGCAATTTTGTAAATAATTGCTAGCGTTTTAAAATCAGTTGTGTATGTCCGATTTTAAAAGATATATATAAAATCGATTTTTCTATTAACCGATTTTAAAAGATATATATAAAATCAGTTTTCTTATTAACCGATTTTAAAAGATATATATAAAATTGGTTTTCCTATTAACCGATCTTGTATGATTTTTTATACAAGTATCTCCCTTTATTGAGTCATTCTCGCAGCAGAGGAGCCCCTTCTCGTTCCAGCGCTCAGCAAAAACCTAGGCAAGTTGGAGATTTGCTCTGGGGTTCCCATCCGTTAATATAATAGATTTACTCCGGGTCGGCAATTGCTCCTCAGGCTTCCTTCCAGTGGAGAAGAGCAAAGCAAGGTCTAGCGGTGGAGCGTCTCGGCCTATCTACTAAAGAAGGAGGTTTTCTATAAAAAAAGTCAGGATTTGGAGAAGGTTGAAAGGTGGGGGCAGGATTCAAAGCTGCAATCTTTAGGTTGGAGGCAAGTGCACGCATTTTAGGTAATGTATTCACTTCTTTCGCTGTTTTGGATGCTTTTTCTTTATCTGTACTTGGTTTTACGTTCTAATTTAGATGCCGATAGTAACGTTCGTGAATGCATCATTCACAATGTCATCTTTTTTGGTTTCCTGAATTATCGTTGCTTATTTTTAATAGGAAATTCAAGGTTGAATAATAGAGATGATCAATTTCTTTGAAGAGATAGTGCTGTTAAGTATTTACACACTAGGAATTATCACTAGAAAATATGGGATTTATATGTTAGTTTAGAAAATACTGACGAGGAATTATAATTTTAATTGTGGTGATAAAAATAATAAATGAATTACTACTTCTGTTGTAATGAATCTTAAATAATTTGACATTTTTATAATTATTTAAAAATAAAAAAGACGTCAATATTTTTTCGTTTAAGGAGCATTAAGCAATTTTATTAATGGGAAAGTGTTGTATATTGTTATGATGTTTAATGGGTAATTCAATTGAGTGAAACAAATGGGTGAGAGAGGTAAGTGTGAAGGAGTGATCTCAGATGGCAAAGCTACAAAGGTGACAGGGGGGGTGTGGCCCAAAGAACGCATTTTGGAGGGGTGGCGTCTGATTAAAGTTAAAACATAAATGGTGGCTAGTATTCATAGGAGTTCTGCTACTTTGTTAATTAGTTTAATATTCCATATGTAATGCTTTTGTCTCGTAAGTTTGATATATTTTACTCTCAATAATTTTATCAAGCCACGTTTACCATTTATCACTGTGGTAAGGGAATTTTTGTGGGAAGTAATGCTTATTAATTATATAAGTTTTTCAATTTAACATTTAAAAGTAAAATTATTGTGTAAATAAGTTCAACAAAATTATTGTTCGCAACCTTCACATTTTATTTACGGTAAGGGAAAACAAAAAGAAGGATGAATGAATAGTTGTGGATCAAAAAGGACGTGTTAGCTTAGCTAGCTAGCTAGTTAGGGGCTTTCTTTAAATTCCCTTTAGTTGCTTTCAAAAGGAAAATGGGATTCCATAAAGTTTATTGTTCTTTGGTTCTTATTCTGCCACAACTATAATTGCCATTCAACAATTTCAATTTAAGAAGTTTCTAAGTTTGTTTAAATTTGCATCCACAACTATAATAAATGTTTAAATTTTTATTATAATTATATGATATTTATTAGTAACAAGTGTTTATAAAGATTAGGTACTTTATTTAATTTTTATAAATTAATATGATATTAAATTTATGGATGAATTGATTGAATCTTAGTTTCTTGTTTGAGATTTAATACAAATGAGACTGACAAGCATGATATATGATTTTTTATAAAGAACAGAAGTCATGGATAAAAGTTGGTTACTGAATCGAAGTAGGATACATGAATCACGCTTAAGTTGGAAGTATGAGACAGGAGTGGTACTTTATTGAATATGTAATACAGAATGCTAATAATGATATGAATGGGAAATTTTTCTGTCCTTGTGTTAATTGTTGTAATGGAAGTCGTCTAGAACTTGATGTTATAAGGGAACATCTTCTCTGTGATGGTTTTCTTAAGAATTATACACGTTGGATATGGCATGGTGAAAATATTGACATTCCAACTGTCTCAATTGAAACTCCAACTCAAACTTTTACACAAGAGATAGATATGGATGATCAATTAGAGGAGATGATTTGTGATGTGGGTCCAAAATCATTCAAGCGAGCACATATGTATGAATCTTTGTGTAGTGATTCAGAGAAGCCATTGTATCCAAATTGCACGAAATTTACAAGATTGTCAGCGATATTGAGATTGTTCAATCTGAAGGCAAGAAATGGGTGGAGTGATAAAAGCTTCACAGAATTGTTAGAACTATTGAAAGAAATGCTTCCGGAGGGTAATACATTGCCTAGTCGTAACTACAAGGCAAAAAAGGTGTTGTGTCCTATGGGTTTGGAGTATAAGAAGATACATGGGTGCCCAAATGACTGTATGTTGTATCATGGTGAATATGAAGGGTTGCATCAGTGTCCAAGATGTGGGTTGTCACGATATAAAAAAAAGCAAGATGATTCTGATTATGATGTGAGCACTAAGGATCCTCCAACTAAGGTTTTATGGTATTTACCAATTGTTCCGAGATTAAAACGTCTGTTTGCTAATGTGGATAACGCAAAGCTAATGAGATGGCATGAAGATGAGAGGAAGTGTGATGGACAACTTAGGCATCCAGCAGATTGCTTACAATGGAAAAAAATTGATTCTATGTTTCCACATTTTAGCAAGGAGCCAAGAAATGTTAGGCTTGGACTAGCTACGGATGGAATGAATCCGTTTGGTAATTTAAGCACTAAGCATAGTTCATGGCCTGTTTTGTTGGTAATTTACAATTTACCTCCTTGGTTGTGTATGAAGCGCAAATATGTGATATTATCTATGATGATTTCTGGTCCAAGGCAGCCCGGAAACGACATTGATGTCTATTTAACTCCATTGGTTGAAGACTTAAAGATGTTATGGGAGAAGGGAATTGATGTGTACGATGGGTATTCATGTGAATCATTCAAGTTACATGCCATGTTATTTTTCACAATCAATGATTTTCCAGCATATGGAAACTTGTGCAGGTATAGTGTTAAAGGGCACAAAGCTTGCCCTATATGTGAAGAGGACACTTGTTACCATCAACTAGTTAATTGGAAGAAGACAGTTTACCTTGGTCATCGAAGATTTCTTCAACCTAACCATCCATATCGAAGGTTAAAGAAAGCTTTTAATGGATGTCAAGAATATAGCATAGCACCTACTGCATTAACCGGTGAGCAAGTTTATGACCGGGTAAAGAATTTAAATGTGGTACTTAGAAAGTCAAAAAAACAACCCAAAGAAAAAAACATATGGAAGAAAAGGTTGATATTTTTTTATCTTCCTTACTGGAAAGTTCTTGATGTTAGACATTGCATTGAAGTCATGCATGTTGAGAAAAATGTATGTGATAGTGTAATTGGCACACTTCTCAATTTAAAAGGTAAGACAAAAGATGGACTCAAATCTTGTCTAGATTTGCAACTCATGGGAATACGAGAACAATTGTATCCCCAACCTATGGGTAAGCGAACATATTTGTCCCCTGCATGTCACACATTGTCAAAAATGGAGAAAACAAGTTTTTGTGAGTCCTTACGTGGTGTCAAAGTGCCGTACGGTTACTCTTCCAATGTAAAAAGTTTAGTATCAATGAAAGATTTGAAATTAGTTGGCTTGAAGTCTCATGATTGCCATGTACTAATGCAACAATTTCTTCCTATCGCTATACGTGATGTTTTACCTAAAAATGTGAGACAAGTCATAATCAGACTTTGTCTATTTTTCAATGGCATTTGTAGTAAAGTAATTAATCCTCAAAAGTTGGATGATTTGGAAAATGAAGCTATTTTAATATTGTGTCAATTGGAGATGTATTTTCCTCCTTCCTTTATGGTTCACTTAATCATCCACTTGGTTAGGGAGGTTAGGTTGTGTGGTCCTGTCTTTTTGAGGTGGATGTACCCAGTTGAGAGATACATGAAGATATTGAAAGGGTATGTGAAGAACCAAGATCGTCCAGAAGCATCCATTATAGAAAGGTACATTGCAGAAGAAGCAATTGAGTTTTGTACTGAATACATGTCTCAAGCTGAATCAATAGGCATTCCTAATACCCGTCATGAGGGACGAACTGCTGGGAAGGGTACAATAGGCATAAAATTGAAAAGCATGATGCGAGAAGAAGTGCTTCAAGCACATTTGTATATATTGAACAACACTGATGAGGTTTTACCTTATTTAAATGCCCACAAAGACTTAGTGAAGACAAACAACCCTCGAATGCCTGAAAAATGGGTGTTGAATGAGCATAACAAGACTTTCATAGAGTGGTTTAAAATGAATGTTGGGACAGATTTAAGTGTTTCTGGAACTTTACAACGCTTAGCTTAAGGACCTAACTTTGATGTGTTTACTTTCTGTGGATATGACATTAACAACTACTTATTTTATACAAAGGCACAGGATGGCAAGAGTACTATGCAAAATAGTGGGGTTATGATAGTTGCTCAATCTATGCATTTCTCAACAAAAAATGATAACAACCCTATCACAGCTTCTACGTGCTACTTTGAAGTTATTGAAGACATATGGGAGGTCGATTATGGTCCATTTCGAGTACCTGTATTTAAATGCGAGTGGGTTGATAGTAATAGTGGTGTCAAAATTGATGAACTTGGATTTACCTTGGTCAACCTTAATAAAGTTGGTCATAAAGAAGAGCCTTTTATCATGGCTTTCCAAGTAAAGCAAGTATTTTATGTCACCGATCCATCTAACAAAAGGTGGTCAATTGTTCTACAAGGTAGAAGTAACAATGTAAATGAAGAATTTGGAGATTTAAGTAATATAATTGATACTCCTTCCTTGTCAACACGTGTGCTAACTTTTAATGAAGATAATGTGGATGATGTATATGCCACTCGTGACGATCATTAGGAAGGAATATGGGAGAACAATGAAACTTGATCATATTTTCGAAATAGGTTATTGTTATTAATTTTTATTTATGATGCTAATTTTTGTTGTCTTTTAAGTACAATATGTTATTATTTAAATTCAATTTATACTAATGACTTGTAATTTATTTTTCAGTTAACAAGCAATTATGGATGAACATCAAGCCTCTCCTTCAGGTAGTACACAATCTACAAATAAGAAAAAAGTTAGAGGTCCCACTAAAATGAAACATGTTACAGCCAAACGCCTTAATGAAGAGAGATTACATGTTGACATAGATGAGATCACTGGGCATCCTACAGGGGATTCAGCTGCCTAGTTTATGAGTACCATGGGGGTTCATACTAGAACAAAGGTTTCTATTTTATTGCCCAATTGGGATCATGTAGAGGAGGCTGTAAAAAATCATATTTGGGCAGATGTTATGGTAAAATGTTATTTATACTTAACATTTTTGTTATTAAACTAGATTAGGATATCAACATGTATTAACTTATTGTTATCTTTGTAGGAAACTTGGGACATTCCAAAGACAGAAAAGATGAGAAGGAAAACCCTTTCTATTGTGGCTGAAATGTGGAGGGCATATAAAACTACTTTGACAAACCAATACATTTTTGGAGAAAAGAAAGGAGAATTTCCTGGTGATAAAAACCCCACTATTGATAATGAGACATGGAATGCATTTGTAGAGTCTAGAATGACTGAAGAGTTTACAGTATGTTATGACTATATGCATTACCATTTGTAAAATTTAATTTTTACCCTTACTCTTATAATATGATATCTTTATAGGAGAAAAGAAAGAAGGCACAACAGACGCAGGCAAATAATGACACCTTTTGTGTGATGTCATGTGAGGGTTATCCATGGCTTAAGAAGAAGTTGATGAAGGAGAAGACTATGAAACGTCAGGCTAGTGAAGATAAGACTGTAGTTAGTGATCCTCCTTCTCCACCCACACGTCATGAATTATGGAAGTTTGCTCGTATTAAGAAAACGGGCGAGTTTACAACTGAGGCAGCAAAAGAGATTGCTAGCAAGATAGTAAGTATAATTTTGCTGTACATATGATGCTAATTAACATATATTTCAAAGGGTTTATTAAATTTTTGGTATCTTATATTGTAGGATGTACTAAAGCAGCAAGCTGAAGAGGGATCTTTTGTTTCCCATGGGCAACATGATATACTAACTATTGCCATTAGGAAGCCTGAGCATACAGGTCGGGTTCGGGCAGTTGGTGGAGGTTATGGTTTGCAGACTTACTTTGGACAACCATCATCTTCACAGTTTATCTAGCTCAGTTGAACAATTGGTGGAACTAAAGGTCTCTCAAGTTGTAAGTCAGATGAAAGAGGAGATTCATAGGCTGGTGAAAGAGGAGTTTCATAGACAGATGAAGGAGGACATGCAAAGGCAACTACAAGAGCATTTACAGTCAATTAGCCAACAATTTCAGCACAATACTCCATTGATTGAACCAGTTATTACACGTGTGAGTACAAATGGATCATGTGTAGGTGCTGATCCCTCTACTACTGTTGTTGACCCTGATACCTCTAATCGGTGTGAGTTGTTTGTCGATGCATCACCCGATCCTGTTGGCATAAGGAGGATTCACATGTTTGGGTCTACTGTTCACCATCAGACCATAGGAGATGATATGGTTAGGGTTTCAGTAATGGATGTTAGACATCCAGAGGCAAGAGTTCCTGTCCCGACAGAGGAGGTTCAAATGATAGGACAAGCCCTAAACACCTTCCTTCAGTGGCCTCAGAGTTTGGTGAATATGATATCTTTAAAGGTATGTTATTTAAGTAATATTTAATTTTAACTTAGTGTTATTTTCTTCTAATTTAGTATAATATCAAAATTGTACGTTGTTGAATAGGATGTTGTTGCCCCACCAAAGGATAAGGAGAAGGTTGTGGTTACCCCTTCAAGAAATCTACCTCTGATAAAGAGGCTATGGAGATTAGTCACAGATATGGAAGATGACGATCAACCCAAACAAGTCCGTTGGCCACATGTGGTGTTTGGCAGATCTAATTATATACCTCTATATATAAGTCAAAGTGACATATCAGAGATTATTAATGGGCACTGTATGCTGAACATATCAATTTTGCAGTTGTGGTTATTGTAAGTATTTTAATGAATTCCATTTTTGTTTTTCTGATTTATTCTAACTTTGTTTCTAACCTTGTAGATATATTCATAAATTAAGTGTCAATAAGAAAAATGACCACATTTATGGATTTTTGGAACCCGAGTCAATCCAAAAAAGTGGGAACAAGGCAGAAGAATCGCAAGCTTACATCCAGAATTGGATGGCTTACTCAAATAAAAAAGTTTACCTAGCCCCTTACTTTTCTGAGTAAGTTATCTTTACCATTAATTGATTACAAAAAGTTTTAAGAGTGTATTCTATCTCAACATATGTTTCTCAATGTAGTACTCATTGGCAACTAATGGTTATTTGTCCTATGGAAAATAAAGTTGTATGCATTTGTTCATTGCATAGACCTCCGCCTGCAGAGTTCAAACAATTATTAGATAAGTAAGTATTTTAAAAACAACTACTTTCTTTTGTTGATTATCATTACATTTGATTTTAAACCATAATAATCATGTTATTTTATTATCAGAGCAATGGAAGGATATTACATACTCAAGGTTATTTTAATTCCATGAATGATATTTAATCTAATGTATTTTATTTTTATTATCCTTACTATTGAAATTGATTTTTATATATTTTTTTGTAGTCTCATAAGCAAAAAGAAAACTTTGAGTGCGGATATTATGTAATGAAGACAATGCATACTATTGTTGATTTAGACATAGTATCGGGTTGGATTGAAGTGAGTTTTATAATTTTCAAAATTCTTATTTTAAGTTTTTTTATTTTATTATGTTTTATGAATTACTTCTAATTCTATTAATTTTTCTTTACAGATATTTATTGATCGATCATCATTGCCACAAGAAGTCTTGAATACCATTAGGGACCAATGGGCTACATTTTTTCTTGACACATTGATTAGTTAGGACTTATGTTTATAGTTTTGGACATAGTTAAAACTCCTTTTCCTTTGGAGTATAAATATGATTGAGATGTCATTTATATGAAGTGATTTATGGAAATTGTGCATCATTGAAATTGTCTGAATTGTCTGTTTTGCAGGTTTTATATTGATTCTTTCGAAAAACAAGCTAATTATTAAAAAAAAAATCACCACTTTTAAAATCAATTATACCTTACCCGATTTTGAAAGTTCACTTTTAAAATCGGTTATGCCATAACCGATTTTAAAACTTTATTTTCAAAATCGGGTATCGCATAACTGATTTTAAAAGTGAACTCTTTAAAATCGGTTCCGCATAACTGATTTTAAAAGTACTTGATTCTTTAAAATCGGTTGTGTCATATCCGATTTTAAAAGTTCAGTTTCAAAATCAGTTGTTAACCGATTTTAAAAAGTTCACTATTTAAAATCGGTCGTTTCATAATCGATTAAACAACTGATTTTAAAAATAAAAAATAACCAATTTTAAAAATATTTTTTCCACTAGTGTTTCTTTTACTTTTATCCGCGCTTACCGCGCCCTGTGGCCACAGTTATCCGATGCCTCTATCCCGAGGTCTTACACATCCATGTAAATAGTCACCGGATGGCCCAATGCAATACGGATACAACGCATGCAATAGACGGCCCCTTAACAAAGGTAATGGTCAGGAGTCAAGTCGAGAAATGAGTGTGTAGCCATGTGGTGCATTCGAACACAATATTCCGTGCACAATCCCGAATGTCATTCACCACCTGCATTTCCCCAAGATATCCCATATCGTCTCCATCTTCCACTCCCCAGTGTATCTCTGTTTATTTACATCATATCCTTTTCCATCTCATACTCTTTCGAGTATATTCACATGTTCACATATGCCATTTCTTATATTCACACATATTTTTCATCATTTCTCCACATACTTTTCATCAAATCATGGCATATTCACAATACACATCATTTTTACAGGAAACACAATATATTCAAACATGAAACATCCATCTCTTTATATATTTCATATCACAAAATCATAAAATCATATCAACCATCCTCAATATACCTTATCATGCCCTATTTATACATAATATCACATTTTCACCATGTATTAATCATAAAATCACATAAACAGCCAATTATTCTCACTTTTCACCAATTATTTCTCAAAAAACAAGGATTATTCCACATATCTTCACATACATGACAAGATCTATGAGAATACAAGTAATAAACATAACAAAATGATAAAGTAGAGCCCCCTTACCTCAAGACAGAGCTTCTACAAGGATTTAACCGAAGATTTAACTCTAGAACAGAGTTTTTCCTAAGAATACCATGAACATCTATAAGAAAAATAAGAAGAAGAGAAACAAACGGTAAATCTAACTTCAAACTTAGAGAAACTTACTTGAAATCCTTTAGAACGGACGTAGAATCACAGATCTGAAGAGAAATTTAAGTTTTAGGAGGTTTACTATGGGAGAAAATGGTGAGATATGGCCTCAGAACCTTTGAGAACCTTGGATAGGAGTGAAGAAATGAAAATTTCATCTAAAACCCCCTTTTTATAGAAAATTTTTGAAAGTTACTGTTCACTGCCGAATTTACTGTTCATCGTCGGAAACACTGTTCACCGCCTTACTGTTCACACCGGAAACACTGTCCACACGTACTGTACGCGGATGTGATGTCAGCCATGACGTCATGATGATGTCACTGATGACGTCATCGTCACTGTGCATACGCGGTTTCACTGTTCATACGCGGTTTACTGTTCATATGCGGTTTTATTGTTCACTTTTTTATAAAAAAATATAAATTCTATCCAAATCTATTCCAATTATACTTTAACAAACCTCATTTTATTTAAATCAAAATGCAGGATGTTACATTGAATACCTCATTCAAAA